ACTAGAAGAACAGAATAAGTGTAAAGAATGGACAGTACAATCGCTTAGAGAACACTTACGAAATCATTTAACAGCTAGAGAAGCAGCTCAAACACGAAATTTTAACACAAAATTTGTACACAACAATACTAGGCACCAGGCCCCTCCCGATGATGAAAGAAAACAAACATATACAGCCGAATCTCTCTTTGCAGGAGAGCGACCAATTCAACGAAAACCTAAATGTTTTTACTGCAAAAACGATCACTGGAGTGACGAGTGTAATGTCTACAAAACAGTCAGCGAAAGGAAGAGGCAAATTAAAGGCTCATGTTACATTTGCATGAAACGAGGACATGTTCTGAAGGACTGTCGAGTTAAAAGACCCTGCTTCCACTGCGGAAAAGTCGCCAACCATCACAGAAGTCTCTGCCCTGACAAGTTTTCTGATGAAACTGCAACTGTGACCACTTTAGCAGCAGACATTAGATGTCAATCTAGTGAACAAAATACTTCAGAATCACATAGTTATCTCGCAACAGGAGATCAAGTACTACTACAAACAGCAAACGTCAACCTGACCCAACAATAGAAGGAAACATTCAAATTTACAGATTTACCAGGATACCCTTCGGAGTGATATCATGCCCATTTCTACTTGCGGCAACTATAACACATCATTTAAATCAATTGAACACTGATCTTTCAAYAAAACTTCAAGCMRACATGTACGTCGATAACTTAATAACAGGAACTAACAGTTTAGAGGAAGCCAAACATCTCTATCATGAAGCCAAAGGRSCTTTCAACTCAGCATCGATGAACCTCAGAGGATGGTCGTCTAACAACAAAGAACTTATGGATACAATATCACCACAAGAYAAAGAAACRCAACCTACTATGAAAGTACTTGGATTACAATGGGACACTAACACMGATACRCTACRSGTAACAGGATCCCAGAACRTGTCAGAAGTACTAGTAACTACCAAACGAGAYGTTGTTCGARCAGTTGGAAAAATCTATGATCCCCTTGGATATTTTTGCCCATGTACACTAGCAGCAAAGGCATTTCTACAGGAAGTATGGAATGAAGATAATGAATGGGACACTAAACTACCAGATGAGCAACTTAAGAGATGGAAAAGAATTGCTAAAGAAGCTGAGAACATTTCATCAATGACATTGAATCGATTTAAGGGCGTTGCTATGGCAACAGACGAAACACCTACTTATAATTATAAGCTCATCGCCTTTTGTGATGCATCAAAAATTGCATTTGCTACTGCAATCTACTTAAAGACATATACTAACAGTAAACAATCAATCAACCTAATTTTTGCTAAGACACGTTTAGCCCCCAAAAGAGTGTTAACAATACCAAGATTAGAACTGATGGCAGKTGTCATTGGACTGAGAWGTCTAAACTACGTTAAGAAGATGTTGAGAATTGATGTGAAGAAAGAAACATTGTTTACTGACTCCCAATGTGTACTAAAGTGGATCTTCACTACAAAGTCACTTTCAGTGTTTGTACGTAATCGATTCAAGGGAATACATAACTACAAAGATGTTGAATATAAATACGTACCCACTAACGAAAATCCTGCAGACATTGCCACTAGAGGGAAAACACCAGATGATTTAATCAACTTAAGACTGTGGTGGAAAGGACCCACATGGATAATGGAGGACAAAGCTCACTGGCCAGAGTGAAAAACTACAGAAACAGACGATGATGAAAGCTTCAACAAAGAACTAAGAAATCAAAGACTCTACGAAGCATCACTACTAACTAAAGAAACAGAATCAAAACAACCTTCGGTACAGCCATTCACTATTAATGAACAGAACTTTTCAAAATTGATTCGACTCTTACGAGTAACAGCATGGTGCATATGTTTTGTGAACAAAACCCGTAAAAGGAACATTGTTAAAGGACCACTATGTGCCAAAGAAATCAATGATGCTAGCCATAGATGGGAGAAGTTTGTTCAGCAACATAGTGTACAAGGACCCTGAGGGATTGCTAAGGTGTCAAGGAAGAATAACTAATGCCAATCTACCAGAAGATGCAAAATTTCCTAAATTACTTCCAAGAAAAGCCTACTTCACCATACTAGTCATCAAAGACTGTCATGAGAAACTTCTACATACAGGAACTTCCCATACACTTGCTACTGTACGACAAAATTATTGGATACCAAGCGAACGATCCACAGTGTACAAAGTATTGAAGACATGCAGAATATGCAAGAGAACTRAAGGTGGTCCTTACAAACGTCCGCCAATGCCTGACTTACCAAAGAGCAGAGTATCATCATCATCACCATTCACATATGTAGGACTGGATTATCTTGGTCCACTACACATTAAGGAACATGGAGAAACTACCAAAGTATGGGTATGTTTATTTACCTGTCTTGCTGTAAGAGCAATACATCTTGAACTACTACGTGACATGACTACAGAACAGTTTTTACTCTGTTTACGACGATTCATTGGAAGGCGTGGCCAGCCAAC